TTTATCAATAAAATTCAACTTTTATGAATTTGTACACCATAACGTTTATGTGGCTTAATTGTGTGAGCACAAGTGTACATAATAATAATATATAAATTTTAAATACCTCTATACATTAACTTATGAGTATATACAAACAAATATACCCTAACCTCAAATTATCAAAATCACTAACTCAGTACTTATTCAGCTAACCAAAAACTATTTATTTCATGAAACTTAATGAAGCGGAAAATCCTTAAAACAAATTCTACGAATTCTTGCTGTGATATCGAACAAAAAAATTATCCCATATTTCAGCGGTCCTTCAAGCTCACACTAGTTCTCACCTGCCGTTTGCGGTAAGCGATCGGTTCAAATCATATTCAATGAACTTTAAACATTTAAATGCAACACGGAACCCTTTCAATTGCTATTTTGCTTTCGAGCGCTGCACCATTTATTATTTATTTTAATTGTTGTTGTTATAAGTATACACGGAACGACCGCAGTGCCCCGTGTCGTCGTTGCCTCTTTGCATTACGATTTTCTATCCTTGTGCTAGCTTTAACCTTTATACACGGTAAGTGGGCATGTGAATGTACCATGTACATTTGTCTCCCCTAGTTGTGTGAAAATTTACAGCATTTGAGTGTCCCTTGCAAGCATTGAATTGCTAGATGGCAAGCATATTTGTTATGCCGCATGACCATTTAGTTTTGGCACTGCTGTCAAGCTCGAACAAGAAATATCAGCAATTCAAACTCGAGCGACCTTTCAGAGTAAAATTGTAAACACAAGTGCATATGTATGTATATACGTGCATACAAAAATAAGTACACACACGTATTGCGATGCTGTGCCATATTGCAATAGCAATTCGTGTGCTTCCAAAGAGCACTGCAGCAGCAACCAAAGCGATAACAAGAAAAAACTGAAAAGAATGATTTTATTTCCAAATATTGCACTATCCCCCTAGTTGGCAGGCATTCTATAAGGGTAGTTTGCTTGCTTCGCGACCCTTTCAATTTCGAGCACTAGACTTTACTTTGAGTTGTTATTGTGTTCAGTAGTAGCAAATTTTGGGTGATTTTGATAATCAGTTCAATTAGATTTCGATTTTATTTTCACTCTTGCTGCTTTCTTTTTTAGTCTGTCACCTATTCAATTTAAAATTTATTGTCTTTTCACAACGCGTCCGTAAGTCCGGTCGTGCTGTCCTTGGCGTTCGCATTTGGCACCACAATTTCCGACTCCTACAATAGCTGTTGTTGTTTGCTGCTTAGCGCGTGCGGCATTAGCTACACTCCCTTCTTAAAATCCATTTATTGCCATTTCAATTGTAGTTTCTGCTTGGGCTATTTGTGTGCCTTCAGTCGTCATTGTCATTAGGTTTTGCCTTTTAATATTTAGGGATTTCGCGTTCTTATTGTGCGAGTGTTTGTATGTGCCACCTCGCTTTAGTTAATTTATCGTTCGGCGTTCACGTGTTTCCATTTGTGCGACACAATCGTTAGAACGTGTTTGATAATGCGGGGGTGTCACGCTTACAAATCAATCGATATACTGGTTTGCTTTGGGTAAACAAAACTGGTAACTAACTAATTGTGCATGATTTTATGTCATTCAGTTGAAAGTAGGATACAAACTTATTCAACTGTTTGTGATTTATTATTGCCAGGATATTTATGTAACGTTTGATTCGATCGACTTGCAAATCAGAAAAAACGTTTCTTTTGTGAAATTTTTTTGGGAGAGGCTTTCATTTAATAAAAAAATAAAAATAATACATCTTTATAAAATTTAAAATACCTAATCTAGCCAAAAGTTCTGTTACAAGGTCAGGGCGTTTATATAGATGAAGATTTTTAGACCCTCCACATTTCTGTGCGGTATTCGCTAGATCATGTTCTCTAGGTGCTATTTGTCTTGTGCAGAATCTTTATACAAGATTCAATATTCTGCACTCAAGAGAGTTTTGCTTAACTGCTTTACTCCGCCTTCTAAAACATGCTCCTGGTACACTTTTATCCAGTTTTACTGGATACAGAAGTGAAGAGGTGTACCGCCTTTCAAGATATGGACATTTTTTGGGATTTTGTACTCGTTGTATGCGTAATAAACATATTTACAGAGTTTATGGTAAGACTAAGTACTCTAATAATTGGCGATTCATTATGAAACTCCCCTTGATCTAAAAGTCGATCTCCAGGATATAAAAATATAAAGCGACCATATTCACAAACTGGACTTAGGAGTTCAGATTTGACCTTAATATTGTTGTCGATGGCGTTAATATTCCCCGACAGTCAATAACCCTAAAATTTTAGGTGTGACGACTTTCGAAATTTTGCGCTCCTTCAGTTCTCATACGTATGCGATTATAGCCAAAGTACCAATATGGTCGCCTGAAACGCAGACGAGGAAGCTTCAAATTTGTCAGAACACTGCACTCCGAACTCTGACAGGATGCCTCTTGATGTCTCTCATCGAGCACCTGCCTATTGAGGCCTGTATGATCATAGTTAAGGAGTATAATCAACTCTTTTACAAATGGTATTCCTGCAGTTACCTGCTTGGAGCGGAATCGCCTTCTAGGAGTATCGAGAGATCATTGATCGACTAAGTCGACACCATTAAACAATATGCCGACCAGACTTCGGAGGCAACTAACTTCCGACAAGCGCTAACCGCCATTCACAGTGGAGCCATTAACACCTTTAGCGTTTCCCTCTCAGTGAATGGCGTACTTGTAGTCAAACCAACATCCATTGCAGACAAAGAGCTAGAGTTGCCGCGAGAAACCAGAGTGACCCTTGCGCAGCTTCATTCTGAATACTGTAGTAGGTTAAAATCGTACATATCCAGAATGGACACCGTTCATATCGAGTATATACCCTGCGTGAAATGAGTCTCTTCATGACAATGGCCACTTTTTTGTTTGCTCCACCAACTCCACTCATCTGACACTCCTCTTTCCTCCTCCCTTTGGTCCGATGCCATCAGATCCCTTTATTGGGCCCTCCGTTGAATGACGACGACAGCTTAGCTAATACTAACCATCGTACCGGGGATTAGGTACCCGTTACAACAACAACATGGAGCTGTGTCGACAAATTTGAACCCAAACCAAAGCGGTGTTTGATAAGTGGGTATAAAGGGACATGCAACCCTTTCACAGGAAAACTAAGTTGGACTGATATTTTGGTGATTTAATCTAGTTTTGAGCAGTGAAACTATTCTATTTCTCTATAGAAGTTTTCTAACATTTTGTTGCAGTTGTTATTGCAAAACTTTTAGAGAAGAAATAAAATATTTGTAATCGAAGTCATCTCATGATAGTTCCGACAAACAAGCTGTTGCGACGGGGTGGGACCTTTGAGAAAGCGGCTTACATGTGCTTTACTTTCTTGTACTTTTTTACTTCCAATTAGTTAGTTTAGTATGCAAATTTTAATTATTAAATATATTTAACCTTACTTATTTAATTTTTCTAGAAATCGTAAAATATTACTTTAAATAGTATTAACTGAAAATTCGTATTTTGTATGTCTTTAATATATCTATCATTTTAGAGCTTTATCATTTGTCTTAAGTTTGGTAGTTAATATTTTTGTTTACCATTTCTTTTATTTTTTGACTACTCCCCTACAATCACGCCCGCATATGTATGAATGTATACATATACTTTTGTATAGCCGGTACTTCGTGGTCCGCGAAAAATTCCGATTTCGATCAACGTCTTATCATCGATTTGGGTTATGTGAGAAATGTGACACACATCGCGCTGCAAGGACGACCGCACAGCGATGAGTATGTCACCGAATATTCAATTAGTTATGGCATATCTGATTTGGAGTTTGCCGACTATAAAGAACCAGGTGGCAACATTAAGGTAAGCCCCACGTTAACACACACAGCTGTATATACAAATGCGTACATATACATGGAAAATTAAAAAAAAAAGTGAATGGCTTCAAAAAACTGCGTATAAAAGTAATTAAAGAAAACAGAAATGCGTCAAACTTATTACTAGGGAAAATATGCATGACATATGTTAAAAGGAATCTCATTCCAATTCGAAATATGACACAAGACTGACATATGCAACGACGCTGTAAGTCGCTGCATTTGCATATTTGCAGTGGCTTACTGCAGAATGGTGCTTGGGCGCACTCAGCAGGACTTACCACCACTACTTTTTGCTCACACGTATTTCCTCTTTTTATGTAACGGTAATATTGTGCTAATCCGTAGTAATGCTGCTAATGCGCTTATTTTAATTATTCGCTTTGGCTTTTGTTGTTTTTTTTTACTTTTTTAGATTTCTGTAGTGTTTATCTATACTTCTGTTGTAAAATATAAATAATGTGTATTTTTTTTGGTGCTTTAAACATTTTTGTACAATATTTTTATTTTGATTATTCATTAATTTTTTTTTCATGGTGTGCGTGAGATTTGCGTTTGTATGGTGTGTGTTTAAGAAATTATCAAAAAAGTTAACATCCAATTCATAAACAATGTAATTTCAGTATAAAGGGTGCATAAAGCGGCGTTGTAGCGTTGCAAAAAAAAAAAAAATAAAATAAAAAATTTACATTTGTAACACAATAGAAATGTCATATTGTAACGCAACTTAACGCAGGTGAGATTTCGATGCAACCTCTATATCCCTCAGTCTATATCTACATACATATACATATACTACACTGTCTCACTAACCCCAACACACTTTCTTCCATTTATATTAACAAATAAAACACAAAATGCTGCGTAAATAACAAATAACACTTAAACAATAAAGGCGACTCCGCTTGGACACCGATCGATAATACTTACAATCACTTTCTAACACTCGATCTGGGTGAAGCACGCAAGACACGCAAAATCGCCACAATGGGCCGTAAGCATACGCAAGAATTTGTTACCGAGTATATTGTGCAGTATTCGGATGATGGCGAATACTGGCGCTCGTATGTGAATCCCTCGAATGAGCCGCAGGTAAAGTTACGAATATTTAAATACGATAATAGATGATGCTTGTGGATAGTACTAGATCAGAATTGTCGTATTGTCTTGTTCCATTGTTCAATTGTGTTTTTGAATGATTTTTTTTTTTTAACCTTTTTTTTTCAAAAATCTCTTTAGTGCTAATTCATATGAAAGTGTTTTATTTCATTACACTTTTCTCGAAAATCACAAGTTTCTAAAAAATTTATCACATTCTGGTCAGACCTTTTACGTTTTTGTAAGCGGTCCGTGTGGAAAACATTGTTAAGCCCATTGTTTAATATTTCTGACATCAAATTCTAAACATGGTGCAGTAATTTATAAAGTAGTTGAGCAAAAGTATCACCTTTAGTATTTTTTTCTCTTAAGTGGGTTTTCTCGGGTAAAAACATAAAAAATAAAATATTTTATTAGAATTGTTACAAACATAACTATTAAGAAAATTTTTTTGGAAATATACATATATTTTAAACTCGGCCGTTGCGGCGCCATTTCCGCTGATCCTTCGGAAAAAAGATGCGCCGGCGCTGGCAGGATAACTCCTTACAGGATCGTCTTAAGCGAAAAAATACGTGATTTAGTTAAAACTATGGTCGAAGAAAAAAACCAGAAAATTGGATTTTTGGCAGATATTTTTACAAAAAAATTAAAATTTTTTAAATGGATGTAATCGAAAAAATTCTTCGTCTACGTCTTTAGGAATTGTATCTGAAAAGTCTGAGTAAAATTTCATGAAGATTGGTTGAGTAGTTTTCGAGAAATCTTGCCAACCGATTTCAAAAACGCGTTTAAATCCGACGCACTTAGCCTAGCTAGCCTCGAGCGCACAAGTTCTCAAGGCTGCATCTCCGAAACTATTACTCGGATTAACTTGAAAAATTAGAACAACATTCTAAAGCTTTTTAAACCCAAGAAACCCCTTAATATACAACCCTTAGTCGGGTAAAAATATTTACTACTTTTCTGGTCTATTCCAAGAAATTTGAAATTTCGACAAAATATTCCTAGAACAATATTTGTCTTATTCAAGTTATAAATTATAATCCTTAAGCAATCAATCACTGTTTTGAGAATGGGTTTAAAACGATCTGTTTAAAGCTCGACTTCTCAACTCTGACATTTCTTTCGTTGCTGTTTCCTTTCATAAGAGCTCCTTATATTATAGATAACGCTATTAAAAACATAAATTATGTAGATCAGATATAATTTTTATGGTAGGTTGTATAAAGAAAGCTAATATCTTTCAGAGATCACAGACCGTTATTGTTAGAAGTTGATATTTTGCTTTGACGTGTTTTTTCATATTTTTCAAATCGTCATTTTTTTTAACAAAAATTAGATAAATTTTTATATTATGGTTTACATTTGCTAAAAAATACTTACCAAATAACTTTTAATTTGTTTTCAAAGCGAAGTTAAAAACACATTTTTGTTCTTAGTTTCTATTACTAAAAAACTGTATATTTGTTTAATAAACACGATTTTCATGGTAAACTCAATTAACTTGAAATTTATTAAAAAACCACTCCTACAAAAAAGGAAAATAAATTATTTTAAAATTTTTAAATTGAGTTTGTATTTCTTTAATAAGTTCGCTTTCGGGAAAGAATATAACTTTAATTCGACAAAAATTTTTTATTTGTTATTATTTTTATATTTACATGTTTTATGTTTTTGATTCTATTTTTCCTTGTGACTTTATTTTTTATAAAAATTTAAATTTTCGTTTTAACTTTTTTTATTGTATTTATTTATTTTTTTTTATTAAATTATTTATTTAATTTCGTATTCACTTATTTTTTTATTATTATTATTTTTATTTATTTATTAGAAATTTATTATTAAAATTAGTGCTTTTGTGTCATCTATAGCATTTATGTATGCATTTTGTGTTTGGCATTTTTCCTTTGTATATTTGTGTGCTTTGTTACACACGTTTTATATAATTCCCAACAAACACAGTCGGTGAAAGTTTACTAAGATCAACACTATGCACCCCTCTCGGTTTTGGTGAATTTGTTTTGAATGTTATTTGTATCATTAATTTTGAGGTTATGTTTACTACACATAACATAAACCCACCCACAGATGTTCAAGGGTAACTCCGATGGCAATTCCATACACTACAATGTGTTCGAGGTGCCCATAATTGCCCAGTGGGTGCGCATCAATCCAACACGCTGGCATGATCGCATCTCAATGCGCGTGGAACTCTATGGCTGCGATTATGGTGAGTCTGACAGACTTGTTATTTACTTTACAACATCAAAATCTAAAAACTTTTTAATTTCAACACTTTGCTCATTTTAGTTGCGGAGAACTTGTACTTCAACGGCACCGGCCTAGTCACCTATGATTTGCAGTATGAGCCAGTGGCGTCCACCCGTGAATCCATACGTTTCCGTTTCAAAACCGCTTTCGCCAATGGTCTGCTTATGTACTCGCGCGGCACACAGGGCGACTATTTCGCTTTGCAGCTGAAGGATAATAAAATGATATTGAATCTCGATTTGGGCAGCAGCTTGATGACTTCGCTCTCCGTGGGCAGTCTGTTGGACGACAATGTGTGGCACGATGTGGTCATTTCGCGCAACCGCCGTGATATCATATTCTCGGTGGATCGTGTCATAGTACGCGGCCGCATTAAGGGCGAATTCACGCGCTTGAATTTGAATCGTGCGGTAAGTAGTGAGGTTATGTTTACTTTTTTTTTTTTAATTATGAAATAAAATTGTTTATTACTTTTAGCTCTACCTCGGTGGTGTACCCAATATTCAAGAAGGCATTATTGTAACGCAAAATTTCACCGGCTGCATGGAAAACATATTCATCAATTCGACAAATTTCGTACGCGCGATGAAAGACAGTTTTGAATATGGAGACGCGTACCGTTATACAAAATACCACACCGTTTACGCCTGCCCCTCGCCACCCATTTACCCGGTTACGTTCACCACACGCGGCTCATATGTGCGCATCAAGGGCTATGAAGCGCAAAGCACTATGAATGTTTCCTTCTTTTTCCGCACTTACGAGGATAGAGGCATAATGCTGCATCATGATTTCGCCTCGGGCGGCTATGTGCGTGTGTTCTTGGAATTTGGCAAGGTGAAAATCGATATGAAACTCGCCGATAAGCCACGCATCATACTGGACAACTACGATGAACAATTCAACGATGGCAAATGGCATTCGTTTGTGTTGACAATTGGGCGTAATCGTTTGGTGCTCGACATCGACCAACGGCCGATGACCACAACGAAGAACATACAAATATCGACGGGCAAAGTTTACTACATTGCTGGCGGCGTGGATAAGAATGGTTTTGTGGGCTGCATGCGCATGATATTGGTCGATGGCAATTATAAGTTGCCCAAGGATTGGGTACAGGGCGAAGAGGTGTGTTGCGGTGACGAGGTGGTGGTGGACGCCTGCCAAATGATTGATCGTTGCAATCCAAATCCATGCCAGCACAGTGGCGTTTGCCACCAGAATTCGATGGAGTTCTTCTGCGACTGTGCCAACACGGGCTATGCGGGCGCTGTGTGTCACACGTGTAAGCTTTTGAAGTGCTTTAAACGCAGTGTTTGTAAATAATTGTGTATATTTTTGTAGCTAATAATCCACTTTCGTGCCAGGCCTACAAGAATGTGGGTCATGTGAATCAGCGCGTTAATTTGAAAATTGACGTTGACGGCAGTGGTCCATTGGAGCCCTTCCCCGTTACTTGCGAGTTCTATTGTAAGTTAAAATGAAACTTTCTTTATATTTTTGAAGTGTGCTCATACTTTTTGTTAACCGTTTCGTCTTTCATAGCCGATGGTCGCGTCATTACCACACTCAGTCACAGTCAAGAGCACACAACCACTGTGGATGGCTTCCAAGAGCCAGGCTCCTTCGAACAGAATATCATGTATGATGCCAATATGCTGCAAATTGAGGCGCTGCTGAATCGCTCACACACCTGCTGGCAGCGTTTGAGCTACGCATGCCGTTCATCGCGTCTCTTCAATTCGCCTTGTTAGTATACACTTTTTTATCTAAATAAAAGTTGTTAAAATTAAACAATTTCCCACATACTACTTGCAGCTGAGGCCGGCAATTTCCGTCCCTTCTCTTGGTGGGTTTCGCGCCACAATCAACCCATGGACTATTGGGCTGGCGCACTGCCCGGTTCGCGTAAATGTGAGTGCGGAATTTTGGGCAAATGTCACGATCCAACCAAATGGTGCAACTGCGATTCCAATAGTCTCGAATGGACTGAGGATGGCGGCGACATACGTGAAAAGGAGCATTTGCCGGTGCGCGCGGTGAAATTCGGCGACACAGGCACACCGCTCGATGAGAAACAAGGGCGTTACACTTTGGGTTCGCTGCGTTGCGAAGGCGATGATCTGTTCACCAATGTGGTGACATTCCGCATTGCCGATGCCACCATTAATTTGCCGCCATTCGATATGGGCCATTCGGGTGATATTTACTTAGAGTTCAAGACGACACAAGAAAACGCTGTACTCTTCCATGCAACTGGACCGACTGATTACATCAAATTGAGCATAAACGGTGGCAACAAATTACAATTCCAATATCAAGCGGGCAGCGGACCACTAGGCGTAAATGTCGGCACAAGCTATCATTTGAACGACAATCAGTGGCACACAGTGAGCGTGGAGCGCAATCGGTGCGTAGCTCTCAACTGCTTCTACCTTAATTTATCTAATATATAATGAAAAATTTTGTAAAACTCAACAGCAAGGAAGCGCGTCTCGTCGTTGACGGCTCCATCAAAGCGGAGGTGCGTGAGCCACCAGGTCCTGTACGCGCCTTACATCTCACATCCGATTTGGTTATTGGCGCTACGACCGAGTATCGTGACGGCTATGTTGGTTGCATACGCGCTTTGTTGCTCAACGGTAAAATGGTGGATCTGAAACAGTATGCCCTGCGTGGTCTCTACGGCGTGAGCGCTGACTGTGTGGGCCGTTGCGAGTCCAGTCCCTGTCTAAATAATGGCACGTGTATTGAGCGTTACGATGGCTACTCGTGTGACTGCCGTTGGAGCGCATTCAAGGGCCCAATATGTGCTGATGGTAAACTTACAAATTTGCCCCATTTATATTAAGTAGCGCTTGTTAAATTTGTTTTGTTTTTGTTTGCTTAGAAATTGGCGTCAACTTGCGCACAAGCTCGATTATACGCTATGAGTTTGAGGGCTCCTTCCGTTCGACGATTGCTGAAAATATACGCGTTGGATTTACAACAACAATACCCAAAGGTTTTCTGCTCGGTTTATCGTCAAATTTGACTGGTGAATATTTGACAATACAAATATCGAATTCAGGTGGGTGTAACGGTTTTGTTGTTTTTTTGGAAAGCCTATGCTTTTATTACTTTCGCATGCTAAACACAGAATTTGCCTTTGCAGGTCATTTGCGTTGTGTTTTCGATTTCGGTTTTGAGCGTCAGGAGATAATTTTCCCCAAGAAACATTTCGGTTTAGGTCAATACCACGATGTGCGGTTCTCACGTAAAAATGGCGGCTCCACGGTGGTGCTAACAGTGGACAACTACGAGCCAGTCGAATATAATTTCGATATAAAAGCCAGCGCGGATGCACAATTCAACAACATACAGTACATGTACATAGGCAAAAATGAATCGATGACAGACGGTTTTGTGGGCTGCGTGTCGCGTGTGCAATTCGATGATATCTACCCGCTGAAACTGATGTTCCAACAGAATCCACCAGCTAACGTGAAATCACTGGGCAGTAAGTGTACCAAATGAAAAGAAATTTAATGTAATTAAAATAATAATTTTTCCTGCTTTTCTACGCAGCTCAATTGACTGAAGACTTTTGCGGCGTGGAACCCGTTACACATCCGCCCATCGAAATTGAAACTCGTCCACCACCACTTGTCGATGAGGATAAATTGCGCAAAGCGTATGGCGGCTTCTCTATTGTACTAGGCTGTGAGTTCTGACACCCATTCGTCTCTAAAAACCAATTTTACTTTCATACATCGCTTTCGTTACAGTCATTTTGGTCATACTACTGCTGCTATTGCTGCTCATGATCTTCTTAATTGGCCGCTACGTACACCGCCATAAAGGCGATTATCTGACACACGAAGATGAGGGCGCCAACAATGCCGATGACCCGGACGAGGCCGTTTTGCACTCGAGAACTGGCCATCAAGTGACAAAACGGAAAGAGTGGTTCATATAGTTCGGCATGCAGCACATAGGCAATTGGAGCACGTAGTCGACGCGGTAGCTACAACTCTACACAGCCTGCTGCAACTTTGCAATCACAACTATACAACGCACGTAAGCGTACGCACCCACACACACACATACTTACACGTATAGAAAGGAGAAACTGTTCATTGTGGTTTTCAAAAGCAAATCGATGAATTAGCGTAGCATAAAATGTATTTTACACATAATAATTATGTAATTATATTAAGCATGACATGACAAACGGCGACGCAGACGTTTAGCCATAGAGAAGTATAACGAAATGCGTGTGAAAATTGAAAACGAAACTAAGTGGTTTTAGCAGTCCATAAAAAAACTTTGGCTAAAAAGAAAGTAATATTCTTTAAGTGAACAAGACGATGCTTTTAACTGTACACGAAAATCAATATATGACGATCAAAAGTAAATCACAGAAAATTAAGCGAAATTAAAGTGTAAACATTTCTCATTGGACGTTGCGTGTCACACTGCCAATTTTGAAATAAGCGAAGACCAGTTGGAAGTGGTACAATATTCAGCAGGGTCTTAGACGTCGCGGCATTCCTAAAAAGTCAAGTGTTCTTATCTACACAAAGTAAAAGAAAAAACAATAGGCATATACCATATACAAATATTGCCAAAAAGTAGACCCACTTACTTTTGCTTCCAACTGGATGTAATCAATTTTTTGTCGTATTTTTTTTTTGCTGATTTTTTCGCATTATGCTCGCTTGCTAACATTTAGTTCGTCGTTTGGTTTTACGTTTTTAATAGGTATTTCTTAATTTTTTTTTTTTTTTTTTTTTTTTTTTTTCAAAATAACCTTTTATAGATTAGTTTTTGAAAAAGAACTCAAACCATAGGCATCTCAAAAGTAAATTTATACCGTCCATTTTCTTTATTTTAAGTTTTTTTTAGTAATATAATTTTTTAAATTTAATTTGCGTGAAAAAATATTATTAAGCAAACAACAACAAAAAAGCAAGAAGTGAAGAAGTTGTACCGAATCTCTGCAGTTTTTATATGTAAGCGCTTTGCATTTTTTATATTTGTTTATTAATGCTTTCGCTGTTATATGAAGGCTTTTGTGCTTTAAGTAAGAAATTTAATTTCACAAATGTCGTTTAAGTAATAAAATTATTAGCTTACGCTTTTCCGAATGACATTTGCAGTGTGTGTTGCAAAATTGGTACTGTCATTTATAACGGCAATTTATGAAACGCATTAAATAACGTGCATTTGATTCGAATTGTTGTAATACCCGTACATTCCATTAAATCCTAAACAACTATCACATCGACATGAGTTATAAGTATTCATACATACCTAAAAAATTATACTTATATTATACGATGAAGAAAAAAAAAAAACGAAGTCTTAAATTTTTTAAAGTGTATTTTTAAATTTCTTTCAAAATGTATTTTTAAAATTTTTTTCACAAATATTTTTTCAAAATTTGTTTTCACATATATTTTTTAATTTTTTTGTTTCAAAATATTTTAAAAAGTTTTTTTAATTTCTTTTCAAAATTTTTTTTTAATAAATTTTCAAAAATTTGTCTCGTCATATAAGAAAATATCTGTATTCGCATTTTGTCTAGGAAAGAGAAATAAATTATGAATAAAAAAATTTAAATGGCAACACTAATAACATTACTTGTACAAAATTAACTGAAAAATAAAAGAAAAACATTGACCGCATTGTGCGCCTAATTATTTGGAATAAATAGGTATATATTACTACACTTACAAAATATTTTGTAAACACTTGTAATCTGAAATTGCTAGGGTTCTAAACAAATTGTATAAATTGTCTATGTAATTCATTTTTGAAACGAAATATAATCGAGCCTATAAAACTATTATGAAATTCAGCTAAATATTTAGGCACAAAGAGTGAGTTGTAAAGAAATTACAACAAATAAAGTAACAACAACAACATATTAGTAGTATGCATATGTTCATAGATCATACTAAGTTATGAAATAGTTATTAACTTTTAATAAATTTTCATTAATACACACACAATAAATGCATTTCTTTTATTTAAATTCTATAAAGCATGGGATGGTTTAAAAAATCTAAATGACGCTGGCTGGATGCACTTATATGCATGGCATCACAAAAGTGATGTGGGACGATCTTCATGGAACTCTCTGGATCATATCTCTTCCGCAAAACTTTTCTATCGAAAACTCGTATTGGCGATTCATTAGATGTTGTCATCATCCATGCCTCTGCACCATATAGCAGGACGGGGATGATAAATGACTTGCTAAACTTGGCCTTTGTTCGACGAGAGAAGATTTTTCTTCTCAATTGCCTACTCAGTCCAAAGTAGCACCTGTTTGCAAAAGTTATTCTGCGTTGGATTTCGAGTCCGACGTTGTTGTTATTGTTGATGGTGATTCCAAGAAATGCGAAATTATTTACGACTTCGAAGTTATGATTGTCAACAGTGGCGTTTGATAGGTCTGGCGGCGTGAGTGACATGATGGGGATTGATTGATCATAATTTGATTCAAATTACGGTTACTCTTCAATCTCTTCCCTCGCGGTATGAGAGTCCATTCCGGCGATGGCATACCACTGGTATTGGCTGTAATCAATATGGACTCTTTGTTAGGGAAGCGGTACTGGATATATTGAAGTTTTTGAAGAGTTAGGAGAGGGGATGAGCAAAATCCTCGTCTTTATGAGGTAGTTTGGGGGGTGGATGATATGGTTCTTAGGGGGTGTGAAAGTTTCATGGTTAGGAAAATTAAGTGGTGGACGTGTAAGTTAACTTTGAAGAGGAGGCAGTGATTCAAGTGATTGAAAGTTTCAACGTGCCCGAAGCTAAAATTCTGACAGTCTGTTCCAGCTTGGATATGCATTTAGCTGTGCGATGAGGGATATTGAATATTGGTGGAGTTTCGTTAGAGAGAGTAGGAACGACCCTTGGGGTCAGATCTATGGGATCTGCGGGGTCGTAATAGGGAGGAAATGTTGTCTCTTCACGTCGGTAAAACTCTGTTATCGTCTTGGAAAGATGATGTGGAGAGGGAGGGATATCTAGGAGGCAGGAGCCTTATAGATAATATGGTCAGGTGTAGGTGGCAAGACTTTGGGACAATAGTGCTAACAGTCGAGTGACTTATGGGTACATTTGGGACGTTGATTTTGTTGAGGTAAACCAGTCTTCATATTCTGTCGGAGTCCATGCTTTCTCAGGGGCCTCTGCATACAATTTTGCATCGGAGATACCTATCTAATAGGTTGGGTTGGTTTTGTGCGGCGGCGGTAGAGGCTGTGTGCATGTAATTACTGAATGCTCAATGTACTCGGACATTAGGAATATGGGTGATTAGGGGATTAGGTGGACTGATGAACGTTTAGATGTTAGCGGTGTTATCTCCCCTAGTCGGAAAGCCGATATATTAGCGTCCCTTACTGGTGGATTGTTTAGGCGGCGAAAGCCTTTTGGCTCGGAATTCTTCTTGAGTGAACGGTGTGTGCGTGTAATTTGCATATAGGGTCCAATCCCTGGTCACCAGTTCAGAGCAGTATGCGAGCTCAACTGGTACTAGTTTCGGTTATGTGGTCTAATCGGAGACATATTGTATCACATGGAGCAGGAGCCCTTAGAGTTCGCTTCAACCTGCTCATCTGGACTGGCTCCTCGGGGAGTATCGTGGTGGTTGTGTTTAAAACCCAAATGCAGGAAGAACTGGCTGAATGTAGAGTTGCATTGCGGAAGGCCTGACATTTTCAGCGCCCTGATCAACGCATTGATTTGATCCGCTGTGTCTTTGAGCGTCGTGGGCTAAGGCTGTCGTCAGCACGTACCCACGTTAAACCCAACGGACGTTGTTAACAGTGAGGTGGGAGCCAGTGACGTAGGCTCGCAGCTTTGACGATGTCGGTCTAAAACTTGAAGGTTTATAAGCTAACTTTATATATACTTTGTTGAACGCTCGCTCACATACACTTCAACACATGTCACTTCGGTTAACAACAATACTTACTATTTCTTGAAATTAATTAGAACAAAACTCGTTCGCTACAGATCAATTAAACCCAAATTTATTTCGGAATTTATGTCTAAAATATCTAACTTTGTATGTAAGTATCTATGTTATTAACGTTTATTGTTTTTTCATATTGTTCATAGTCAATTATTGTGCTAATTCATATTTATATTATTTGTATTATGTAACAATGTTGTATATAAATATTGGTTTTTGTTGCACACTACATATGGTTGTTGGTATGTACCGTAATACGGTATGCACTTACTTTAAGTATTTCTAAGTATAATATTTCAATATAATTGTTTCACTACACATAAAAACTAATTTTGATTCTCTAAATCCTAGGGAGCTAACCATCTTGTGTGTCAATGTAAATCTAAGTCCATAAATTAGAAATATAATAATATATATTATATAAATTTGGTTTTTCGTGGTAAGACTCTTCTAATATGTATTTAATTATGCATTATAAATTTTTTATTATTTCTATATATACTTTGTATATTTGTATATGTATATGTATAGTATATATGTCTATGTGTTTGGAGATATATGTTTTATAGTTTAATTTTAATTTTTTTACAGTACATATTTCTCTTTGTGAGCGTTATGTACGATTTATCGTTATGTTTGTATAAAAAATGTAAAAATATCGTAAAATTAACAAAATCTACTCTCTAATTTCCACTGTAAATAAATAAATATGCAAATTCGAAAGGCTAAACCAACATTTTCCCTTGATACAATTTTTTTGTATTTATATCATTAATGTCTGTGTCAGTGTCTGTATTCACATGAGGTCTTCTAATCAATGCACATATCCCAATTTATGTGATTTTTATTTGATTATGAAAAGGTTAATATATTTTTTTAATTTATAGTTACAATATTAAATTATTTCCTCGGTTAGTTAGTATGTATTTATTAATAAATTATTCAATTTGTGTTACTTTTTAATTTTCAGATAGATTATATTCCCATACAAATATGAGTATTTCATTTATGTGTGGGGTTTATAAATTACCTACAGTTGGACTAACCCATCAAAATAATATGGAAACTAAATGAATGCAAGAATAGATTAAATTGATTGTTTGCGGGAGGCTCATTGCAATTTTTTTGGCTCGAAGTTATCAATAGTAATCGGTCACTTTTCCTCACACTTGGCGATGGATAAATAAATTATTACTGTTCACAGGAATACTTTCGCTCTTTAATTTTATTCAAGATATTTTGCTTAATTCCTTGAAGGCAATATCATTAGACTCTCTTTTCACTCAACTACTTATGTACTATTGCCAAAAGTAGTTTTAATTAACACCTTGAACTGCTCTGCTCTACCCTTGTTTAGCAGGAGACATTACTTGGTCTAAAAAATCTAAAGTGCTAACCATCGAGAGGACTAGGACTTTCCAACAATTTGACTGATATAACAAAAATTGTAATACTTTCTAATTTCAAATTTGAGTATTATGGGTCGCTTGCGCGAGGCTATTCGTAAAAAGAGGTTGGAAATATAGGCCGATAACTCTTGTTTTTTGCACCACGATAATGCACCGTCGCCTACTGCATTTGTACTTCGTGAGTTTTTCGCCAAATTGTCTGCCAGCCACCGTATTCACCTGATTTAGCTCCGTGTGACTTCTGGCTATTTAGAAAATTCAAACGACCACTCCGGGGAAATCGTTACAGTCAATTGAATCGCTACGCGCATTGAAGGCTTTCCTGAAATTGATTTTAACTAGTGTTTCGAGGATTGAAAAAAACTTTGGCGCAAGTGTATTGGGACCAAGGGGGATTTCTTTATAGATTATAGATTTTGAAGTATAAATTAAGAGTTTTAAAGTTATGTTCAATAAGTTTTGTCGTTCGATAAGAGAGGCGGTTGCTGCTAGCCATTTTTTGTTTTGTTGGTACACACTTTATATGAATGTATGTGAAG